TCCCTACCACTCTGTTTGTAACTCTGTAATGTCTGTACTGATCCTTTGCTATTTTGTAAAACGTTGTCGATCTGTTAGTCTTTTCCTCCTTTTATTTCTAAAATAAAAAATAAATAAATAAATAAAAGAAAGCAAACGTAAGCATTAATTATAATATTTATAGAAAAGAAAAGAAAGGGAAAAAAGAAGTTTGAGAGGACAAGGAAAAAAGAAGGAAATTTAAATGAAAGGTAAGAGAGAAGATAGGGAGATTAAATTTAACTAATGAGTTAAGAGAAACACAAAGTTAGAAAACCCTGTGAAACAACTCTTGAAGTGGGAAAACATGACAAAATAAGCTAGAATGGTATAGAAGTAAAAGTAGTAACACACACACATGGGTCCAATTTCCTTCTTGTGGGAGTATTTATAATGAATAAAATTATTTACCCTATACTTCCATTTTTAGTTGCTGCCTGATAAAAGAAAGGAGTGAAAGAAATTTGTTTTGGTTCAGAATTCCTCTCAGCCCCTGTCCAGTAGGAAGAACTTTTAGAAAGTTCTGGAGGCGGAGCTCTGCCTCTCTGTGGTTATCCACAAATGCTAAGGAAAGGCTGTCAGTGGAAAAACTAGAACACACTCAATACCTTTGTTTTGCCACACCTAGGACTGAGGATGCAGAAAACATTTGCATTGTTAACCAAACCTCCACCTCACATAGTCCTTGGGTAGGTCTGAATTACGGGCCAAATTTCAGGGAATGACCAGACCATGCTCTTGGAGGTGTGGATGGCCAGTGTCTGCACACTGCTGCATTTGTCCTGAATGCCTGTGAGCAGGGAAGAGGCAGTTGCGGGTACAGGGTCTGTGCTGGCATGAGAAGCTATGAGTGCCTGGCTTTATGCTTAGACTCCTTCCCCCTCGTAAAACTTCATGCAGCAGAGCTTTTTTGTCACAGTGTTCAGGCTATCATTCTTTTACTTCCTGGCCCTCTCCTTTTTTAACCTATTTATTTATTTTAAGTGACTAACTTTACATTTCCCTCTGGCTGGATGATGTGTTTGCTGCAAGCTAGGTTTCACGTGAAGATGGTCCCAGCCTGGTGTCCAGTCTCATGAGATCTACCACTGAGTTATTTCCCTTTATCTTGAAAGTTTAGTTTTTCTGTGCCATAGTCACCCAAGCTAAAACCTAGGGACAGTACTCACTGGCTCCTGGACAGAAGAGGCCATTGTGTCTTGGAGACATAAAGACAAAAGGTGGGTGTTTTCTGATCTTCCATGTTGCCTTCCAAGTCAGAGGAAGTGACAGAAGATGCCTTCCCACCCTAGTTCTGTTTAAGTCCTCCTGTTTGTTCCACAGAGGTACAGGGAGCTTCTAAGATGGCCCTCCAGCCTGACACCAGGTCTACAGGGAAATGCTGGGAATTGTATTCCCGTTCCTCTTCAGTTGCCTGAACTCAGGACACCTTTCTTTTCAATCTGTGTACCCTGCAGCAAAGTATGCTGAGGTTTTCTCTTAGCTCCCAGTAGAGAGGAGGTTGCCTTTCCCACTGAGCTGCCATTCCTTCAATATTTGTGTGCATTACTTCTGTTACTTTACTTATCTTTCTAAATACCAGTAGATCGGGGTCTCATCTAGTTGCTTGCTCATTCAGGTTGCAATCTAGTGATTTCCAGTGGCTTTTCTATCTCCTCATGTACCTACTGATATAGACAAATAGCCCAGAGGGGGCTGTCAGCGCTGCCTGCCTCTAGTCCACCATGATAGAACAGGCTTTATTTCTCTAGATTTGAGTATATTTAAGAACAGAAACAATAAGCATCCTTCACACTTAGGATCAGGGAACTGATAGCTCTAGTCCAGAATAACTCAATATTTGGCTTTTTCAAAGGAGAATGTCTTTCTTCTAAAAGTATACATGATAGATACATTGAGGACACGTTTTTCAAAGGGATAATTTAATTTGTTATTCCATGCATTTCACTGATTCTCAAATAAACAGAAGAATACTTCATTTGATATTTAAATACAACAAAAAGCTCCCTATTCTTTCATTTTGAAATTCAGCTTAAGCTTAAGACACTCAGGAATACAGAGAAGAGCTTTAGTGGCATGATCAGTTAACATGGAGTACTTACACAGGAATTCACAGAAACATCAAATATTAAATTATTTTAATGTAAAACGTATGATAGATATTCTTGACTAAAATGGGAACAAAATTAGCTTATCACCATTCCCTTACTATAATGCTTATTCTACCACATTTATGAATTAATCTATATTTTAAAATTTTATTATTTTAGCAACTTTTTCACTATATAATGACATACACTGAACTGTACATATTTAAAGTAATAATTTCACATGTTTTGATGTATTATATTGTATTAGTCAGTGTTTTGTTGGTAATAACACAATACCTGAGACTGGGTAAGTTATAAAGGAAAGAGGTTTCTTTTGTCCTTTTGAGACAAAAGGAATGAAATACAAGGTCCTATGACCTAACTAACCAAATCACCTCCCTGAGCTCCTGACTGAACACCACTGTAGGATTAAGTTTCCACCTTCTTCATGCCTCATGACAGGGATTTAAATTTTAACAAGGAATCTTGGGAGACACCCCCAAACCACGTGCAAACCATAGCACACACCATGAAACCATGTCCAAACCATGAAATCATTACCTTAGCCAAGGACATAGCTACCACCTACCACTCCCACTTCTTATTCAACAGTGTTAGCCCTCCCTACCGACCCATCTATAGAATTTTAACTGTTTTTTTCTAGTTTATTTCTTCCAGCACAGTCATTGTGACACCTATCCATGTTGTTGCACATGTGAATAGTTTATTTCTTTTTGTTGTTAAATAGTTTTGAATGCTTTGAAAACACCATGATTTATTTAGCCATTCACTCACTATAGGCATTTGAATCTTTTTAAGTTTTCAGCTATTACAAATAAAGGTGCTAGTGTACAGATCTTTTTGTGGATATATACTTCCATTCATTTTGGGGTTTTTTGTTTTTTTTTTTAGTTTTTTTCCGGGACCAGGAATCGAACTTATGACCTTGCGCTTGCCAGGCAGGCGCTGTGCCACTGAGCTAAATCCCCAGTCCCCTTCCATTCATTTTGAGTAAATGGTAAGGAGTGGAATGATAAGGTACCATGGTAGGTGCATGCAACTTTTACCAAACTGACTCTGCTTTCCACACGTTTCACCCTTTTACATTGCTACCAATGGTCTATCAGAGTTCTAGTTTCTCCACATCCTTGCCAAGATGTGTGTGGTATTATTTTCATAATTTTAGCCATCCAACTAGTGTGATACTATGTCCCACTTTGGTAGTTTTAATTAGCATTTACCTAATAAATAATGATATTAGATGTCTTTTCCACGTGTATTTTTTGATGATCTGTCAATTCTGATATTTTGCAATCTGTATTTTTCCCTTCTTCTCAGTTTGAGTTTCATTTGCTCTTCTTTCCCTGGTTTCTTAATAAGAAGTAGAGGCTGTTGCATTGGGGATATTCACCTATAGATATTGGTATAGCAATAAAGCCCTCTTTCTTTCAAGAATCATGGACCTATGAATAATATTTCTACTGACTTCTTGCCAATGCCTTCAAGTAATTCCTTAATTATATTTTGTTCCAGTTTTTGCAGCTATTTTTGTCAGGCTGTTCGAATACCAGACACTTGGTCATGGCTGAAGCAGGAATTACTTCACAATTCTCATTTACTGAAAATTGAGCTGCCTCTGGCCTAGAGGTACAGGGAACATCTCCCTTTTCCTCAGAGCAAAGCTGGGAGAGCTAAGGATGGCTGTGTAGTCAAAAGACCTCAGGGACTGAGCTGGCCAAACTTGTACTTGGATTTCTTCATTTACAGTCTGGCTGGGTTTGTACTAAAATTCCCTCTAATTCCTGTGCAGTGGAATTCTGTGACCCATTTTGTAAGCATGGAGGGTCTAACCCGCTACAATAATTTGAATTTAAAAATACATAAGTCAATGTAAAATTTAGGAATACACAGCTTCTGTGATTGATATTAGTGAAATAACAGCTTCTGTGCAACTATAAAATATTTAGACACTTATACCACTTATTCTACTTCAAACACTAGGAGTGGCTATACTACTTCTTTAACATTCTAATAATGTTATTATTTAATATATATGGGTTAGTAGGTACCAAAATAATTTGAGAACACAGCACATTAATGTGACAAATATCTATTTAAGTGATTCAGACAGTTATAATGGTTATACACAAGAGATACAAATTTTGGGAGGGGTTGTTGATACGGTAAGTATGAAGCAATGAGGTTTTAGATAAAACAGTCTCTTTATAACAAAACCAGAATTTGATTGGGTCAGCAATTATTTCTTATTGCACTGATTCTTATCTTTTCTTCCCAAATAATTCTGTAAGTAGGTAATGTCAGCTTTTCTTGTTAATGAATGTTTTAGCTATTTTCTAGTTGCTGGAACAAACTACCCAACATCTACAAGTGAAAGGAGAAAAGGTTTATTTTAGCTCACAGTATGTAGAGGTTTCAGTCCACAGTGAGCTGGCTGCAAGGCAGAGGGGCACGGCAGAGGAGAGACAGTCCATGGCGGGGTCGGCAGGTGGCAGCGAGCAGCAAGCAGTGAGTCTTCCAGACTTTTACCTCATCCAGGCTACAAGCCTCGAATTGCGCAGCCCGTACCCAGGGTGGGCCAGACCCAGAACTATGCTAAATCAATCAGTGGGCTAATGTAGTTATCTTAATTCCTATTCGTACACCCTAGTTCCAGCCACCTCTGAAAAGCCCCACCTATGAGTGCATGAAGCTTTGGGAGGACATCCAGACACAAGCCATAGCAATAAACATCAGTTTTCACGAGGAATGTAAAGATACTCCCGGTTGGTAGAACTAACCTGTCCCGACATTTCAGGAGCAACAGGGATGGTGGGCCAGAGGTAAGAGTAAACCGTGAAGAACACCAACCAGATTATTATGCTTCCCCAGATTGCCAGATGACTAAACTGCAGAAAGAAAAGTGTCACAGAAACATTTCAGTCATTTCTGTCTAAAAGGAAAAAAAAATTATCTCTATCAAAATATTTAACAAAATACATTTGTCCAGGTCTTATTTCTTCATATAAAGATAGTTATAATCTTTCAGCCGCTTTATATCTGAGATTTTCCTTCTAACATCGCTGTTAGAGTAGTTTGCTGTGGATGCAAGAAGCCATTGTTTAAAGTATCTCAACAGTATTTTGGTCACCCAAGCTGAGTACATTAAGCGTCTTCAGGGGACATGTTAACTCTCATTCAGAAATGCTCCCTACAACTGATGGAGTATACAGTGAGAGTGCTTCTGCCCACTTATTAATACCAAGCTTTCTGAGGAAAAATAAAGTTTGAACAGAAATAATTAGGAGAAATTCAGATTTAATCAAGTCACAATTGTTCTATATAAATAGTTCTTAGTGATAGGAACTGTGACTCTTAGTGTGGTGAAGCTCTGCCTGTGAGCCTGATGCAGATGCTTGACTGAAAGAGCACTGCTAGTGTCTGGGTCAGGATACTTGTGCACAATTCTACCGCGGTAAAGACTCAGAAAATGAGAGCCTTCTGTCGATCTGATGTGTGGCTTTCCGTTAGCACAGTATATTCGCAGAGGAATAGTGAAAAAGTGCTCTGGAGCCCCATGCTACAAACTTTTGGATGTGCTGGGTACAAATTTAAAATTCTTACATATAATAAGGCGATTAGCTAGGTCTGTAGTGTTCTTATCCTGTTAGGTACTTACTTAAGCATGTCTGAACAACAAATAGAATGGGGGCGAGGAACAATCTGCTATTTCTCAAAGTATGTGTTAACCCTGTGAGAGGCAGAGAACAGGAGCCTGGGCCAACGTGGGCTAGAAGAGATACCTCTGATTTTTTTGCTAAGTCTGCTTTAGACTTGAAATAAATAAACAAATAAATCTTTGTTGATCAATAAATAAACGAGATTCCCTTAGTGCACTATAAGTAATCCAGGAAGTGAGAAATATACTTATTAGAGAAAATTTAATAAATAAAAGTAGACACGAAATGATTTGTATCATATTAACATGGTATAAAACTATACTTATAATTTGTATGTCCTATCAGTTGCTATTCAAATGTCCTTCTTTGGAACTGAGTACTGACATTTATTTGATAAAACTGTAGCAGAAAGAAGCTTAAATTGATTGTATCAGAGGACAAATATCTTTTTAAGGGTGGCAAATTAATAATACAATTTAGTTCCTCTGATAAACTTGTTTTTTCTTCAGTGCTGGGGATCAAACCCCAGGGTCTCAAGGATGTTAAGCAGGTGCTCTACCACTAAACTAGAAGCCTAGCCTCTCTCATGAACTTTTAAGTACTAATTGATAGAAAACTCATTTGCCGATGTACATGTATGTTTGTATATATGTGTACATATATTCACTTAAATTGTTGATGAATTTATAAAAATAAAATTCTGCTTAACTGATCAGAAGTCCTACTTTAAATAATAATCTAAGAAAATTATTGTTCATATGTATAAACCCACATGGACATTCATACGTGTGTATTTTTTATTCATAATAGTATCACTTATATAGTGTTTATAAGAACAAATGTTAAAATTATTCAATAATGTAAATGATAAACATTTATGTTATGAAATATGAGTCCTTAAATATGAAAATAAAACAAATGGAAAAATGTTTAAGGGCTATTATTAACTGAAAAAATTAAGTATCATTAGGACCCTACTTTTGTTTATAAAAAAGCATACAGAGATCAGAGACACTATAATGTCAATATCATTCACGTTGATATGCATGGGCTATGTATAGTTCCTTCTTTCTCTGTGTTAGCTAAATTTTCTGTTATAATTCTGTACTTGGAAAATTATAGTAAATGAAGTGTCTGAGTTAATGGTGTGCTAGGTTGAGTCTATTTCAAATAGTAGGAAATAGGTAGGAAAAGAAATATCCTGAAGACATTAGGGGGATAATTTCTTTAACCAGTTTAAATAATCACTTAAATATACCAAACCAAATGAAGTGTGGAAACCAGTGAAAAAAAGCTTATCATTTTTCTAAAGCTTAAAAATAAACAAAAATAAAAAATAAGTCAGCATATAAATGACTGCAGTGGATTGGGTAAAAATTCTAAAGTATACTCACTTTAGTCCAAGACATCATCTCCAGCCCAGCTTTCAGACAAACAGTTACAACTGCATACTATGAAAAGATAGGAAGGAGAAAGAAATTGGAAAATCTGTTGAAATTTTCCATTAGAGTCCATGCCTCCCACAGCTCTCCCAAACCTCTATCTTAATTCACCTTCATGTCAAAAGACCCTGTTGTCATTGAGTTGCTAGTGTTCTGCTACATGTTAATTCTGGAGTGTATAATTTTAAAAATTCATCTCCTATATTTAGAAACCCTTTAACATATAACTCGAATCAATATTTATATTATGAGCACTTATATTTACTTTTTTTCCTCCCTAGAAACCTGAGTGCTACTGATAGAAAAAATTCAGGTGAGCTGAGTAAATTTAAACCATTACAAATCAGACAATCTTCACTATTCTTGGCTTTTTGTACTTTGCAAAAACCTGTAGGGTTTTTCACTGGAAGTACAATAGATCTGTAGACCAACAGTATTGAACAGTATTGAATTTTTTTGTCAATAGATAGGGTTATTTTCTATTTAGAAGTTTTTAATGTCTTTAATTGAAGTTTTATAATTTTTATCAGAGGTTATAAAAATTATTTATTTATGTTTGGTGTTATTGTAAAATGATATTTAAAATTTTTGATTGTCTAAATATTTATTGCTGGTATATTGAAATATAATTGATCTTAAAATATTGATCATTATTTGGCAATCTGTCAACTCCCTCTATTAGTTATAATATTTTATCTATAGTTTTGTTGTATTTTCTGTGTACCCACTCACATCATCTGAAGTTTAAAACTGATTCTTTTCCTTTGCAATGATTATACTTCCTGTTTTACCTTCTTATCTCATTGTACTGAATTATAACTCTGGTACAATGTTGAAGGGAGGTGTTAATACAAGACCTCTCTGTCTTAGTGCCAGTCTCAGGTAGCATGATTTTGTTACAAGGCGGTTTCTTATGCACAACAGATCAGGGATCCATTGAATATTTTAAATCTTACTTTTATGGTGGCCTTTGACTATGTCTACTTCTTAACCTCCAGTGTCAACCCAGAGGTGCCTTTCCAGGCACTGGCCCTACCCATCTCTCTGAGTCCATTTTTGCCATTATCCCCGCCTCCCTGCCTAACAGTTCGCTCTGCGCTCTCCTGCAATAGCTTCTTCTAATTCCCTGAAAGCACTCAGGTTGACTCCATCTTGCTAGAGGCTTTGCTTCTTATTGTGGAAGCTATCTCTGGCCTTTGGAGTCTCCTCCAGGTCCCTAAGCTTAGGATCAGCATATGGGGGCGGGGAGGGGCTTAGTGATCTAACCTGCTGACTCTGTTTGTATTTCTCTGTTAGCATAACATGTCAAGGATTTTAGCATTGGTCATCTCCTTTCTTCTTTAATTACTAAGGTGAATTATCTTTCTGGAATTTTGTTGTTGATTACTACTCTGGTTATAACTATTTAAGCCTTGGGAGGTTGAGATTCCATGAGATCAATTACTCTGGCATTGCACCTTGGAATCACTTGTATGTATTATGTACGTGTATATATTAAATTCTCCATGTTTAAAATCCTGTAACATATGATTAAAATTGATGCCTATTCAGACACTTTTATATTTACATGTAGTATAAACAGCACAGAATATTTGACTCCACCTCGAAATCCAAGTACTATCCCTTTTGAACCCTTTGAAGAGGGTTTGGTTGGGTTTACTAGCATATGTTTTTCACATGGCAGGTCTCAGTAAATATCTATGAATAGATGAAACAAACAACAGTTCTATTTGATTTTATTATTTTTCCTGGGGTTGAAGAGGTAGGGAAGTTTGAAAAGAAGGAAACTAACTTTGTGCTCATGTTCACCTAAGTAAGAAAATGCTGCTTAACCACATGTTGTGTTCAGTACTACAAAAAAAACACAACCAGTGCCATAAAATACAACAAGCAGCTAAAGCGAAGACAGGAAACACGTTAGTAATTTGTGTTTTGCATAGAGAAAAACATGGGAAAATTATTTCTGACACATTGTTAAATCTTTTTAAAAACTCAAAATGCAGAGGACTATGTTTCTACTGGCATACAAAAAGAAAAACGCAGTTGAATATATAATCTGTAATTTTTAGAATTATGGATAAGAAACTGTAACAGTTGCAGACACAAACCTTAGAGATCATAAACATCGGTAAATTCAACTATATAAAGTTGATATGCAGAAAGTATATTGACATGACAAAATAAAAATGGGAAACTGGAAAAATATTTTTGTAATAAACATGAGAAAAACGTAGCATGTTTAACATATAAACAATTACTAATGAGTCATAACTAAGAGGCTAAGAACCCAATAGAATAAAGTAAGCAAGTAACTCACAGAAGATATGGACCTGGTTTATAATCTTATATAAATATGCTTAATCATCCCAGCAAAGCTTTCATAGGCCACTATATCACCCACTGGCTCAAAAGACCACACTGCCACTCCAGGCTTGGAAAACTGGACATTATTATCACTAGATCTGTACACCCTCCATTGGAGGAATACTTGGTAATGTCTTCCAAAATTCATGATACCCTCTACTCCAGTAATTATGCCTCTAGGAATTTATCTACAGATACACTTACTCCTAAACACAGTTTTTGCAGTATTGTTCATAGCATCAAAGGACCAAAAACAACCATAATGTCCTAATAGGTGACTGGCTAAATCAATAAAGGTGAGTTATGCATAAAAGCAGCCCTGAAAATATGAGGTAGATATTTATGGGCTGATTTAAAATCATCATTAAAGCATGTTATGCAGTGAAAAGAGATGCTGCAGGGCATTTTCTGCTTATTAACTAAAAGAGGATATGGGTAACATACATTTGTACATGAACTTCACAGACTTTTCTAAAAATATGCATCATATATATGTATATATGCAATTGTTACAGTAGGTTCTCTTAGAAATATATCAGAGTTTGAGAATTTTATACTGCTTAACATAATGTTTCATTTAATTTTTCAGTTAGAAACAAGGAGAACTGATTTAACACACATGGATGATCTTACCGTGTAAATAAAATTTCCGAGAAACAAATAGTTTGTAGTGAAGCCGTGTTGTAAAACCATATCTGAAAAATGAGAAAAATAATTTTTAAATATTTATGGAGTCTATTCTTTTGAATTCCTTTTTTTCCAGAGGGATTCATACTGGCCAACAAAAAATACTTAGCAACGGTTGGGTATATTTCTAAACCAGCTCTATTAGGGACAGCAATGCTTCCTTTGCCTGTCACAGCTGTGATTTTCCTCCCATTCCTACTCTCCCAAAGATATATCCAGCAGCAAATGAATAGACAAATCGCAAGGATAACACAAGTGTTATTATTAAATGCAATTCCACCTGCATTAAGCCACTGACAGCACCCATAAAGTAAAAGCCTAGACATCCCAGTGAGAAATCTTAGCAATTTTGTTATTGTGCTTTTCATACTATTCTTCTTTTAAGATTACTAAAATAATAAACTTAATAGATATTTTTGTTATGACAGAATTCTATACCTCTTTTCAGCTATTGCTGAATGTGCTATAAAACTTAAGAATTTCATTCTACATATATGAAATGTAAGTACTATCTGATGGTTAAGGGGATTTTTTCAGATTTTCTTTACTTTTTTAGATTCTTGAATATATATTATTGATGTCTGGTTCTGGCTGATATGAAAAATTTGGAGTGCAAATTCCTGATCCCAAAACCAACTTAGTCTATTTGTGTATTTGAACTCAATTATCACTTTTCTCCTAAGGTAGAACCTGCTAAAATACTCAAGGCTTGTACTTGTTCCTAAAACTGTATGCTGTGGCACATTTAGGGCATCTTATTGAAAAAAATGTGGATAAATATGTGGGCTGTTCTACACCAACTAAGAGCATGACAATCATAGTTCCAGATTGTGCATTACCAATACTTTGAGTGTCTGTTGAGTGCAAGATGATAGTATAAGATGAGAACAAGTAATTAGAAAAGGAAAGAAAGCCACTGCATAGGAAGGTAATATTGAATTTTACTGTTCAGAAATGTATTCACAGAGGGGGTAGAGAAATTAGAAACTACTTTGGGATAGAAGGGAAACTTCCAGTATGAACATTACAGTGTGAAACAAAAATTCATTTCTCAAAAAAAAGAGAGAGAGAGAGAAAGGGAACAGGAAAAGTAACTAAGTCAATGTTGTACTGGCATTAACATTTGATTGTAGAACTAATTTCATTAATCTTATCTGTGACCCATTGATTGCTTAAGAGGGCATTATTTAATTTCTATGTGTTTTCATAGTTTCTGTGGTATCTTTTGCCATTGATTTCCAGTCTCACGGTACTATTATGGTCCAGTAATACGTATGGGATAATTTCAGCTTTTTTGCATTCACTTCAGCATGCTGTATGGGCTAGTACGTGGTCTGTTTTGGAGAAAGCCCCTTGTACTGCAGAGAAGAATGTGCACTGTGCTATTGTTGGGCAGAGCACTGTAAATATTAAGTCATTTGCTTGAAGGTTTGGTTCACTCTTGCTATTTCTTTGTTGATGTTTTGCCTAGCTGCTCTGTCCCTTTGTGATTGTGGAGTTCCCCATTATAATTGAATTGGTGTTCATATGATTTTCCCACCCATTAGTATTTCCTTTGTGAAGCTGGGTGCCCTGGTATTTGGTGTACATATATTTATAATTGTTAACTCTTCCTGTTGAACTGTTCTCTTAATCAATAAATAGTGACCTTCTTTATTTCTTCTGATTAGTCTTGGCTTGAAATCCACCCAGCCTGAAATCATGATAGCAGCTTCTGCTTTTTTCCAGGTTCCTGTTGCATGAACTACTATTTTCCATTCTTTGATTTTTAATCTATGAGTAACTTTTTGAGTTAAGTGTGTTTCTTGTATACTGCATATTGTTGGGTTTTGTTTCTTGATCCATTCTGCCAGTCTGTGTCTTCTTTATCTATTTTTATTTCTGGTACCAGGACTTGAACTCAGGACCTTGCACTTGTCAGGCACTGAGCTGTCTTCCTGGCATTTCTGTGTCTTCTCACTGGGGAATTGAGGCCATTCACATTGAGTGTTATTGCTGAGCAAAACTGACTTATTCCTGTCATTGCATTATTTTCCTGTTGCTGATTTCCTCATTGTTTTTTCTGTTTTGCTTTGCTGCTCACCCTGCCAGGTAAATTCATTCTTTATGACATACTGGCATGACTGGCTTCATTGCCTCTTTCTGTGGCATCCTTTAAAAAATTCTGTAATACTGGCTTGGTGGTCATGAATTTCTTGAGGTGCTCCTTGTCATGGAAATTCCTTATGTGTCCAAAATTTTAAAGGAATGTTTTGCTGGGTATATAAGCCAGCATTGTAAGCTTTCATCCTTTAGGGCAGTAGTGGCAAATGTATGGCACACTTGCTGCATGGGCTGTTTGTATCATTGAAAGCTCTACAAGGCTCACATCACTCCTTTAGAGCTTGAAACACTTCATCCAAACCCTCCTGACTTTAAAGTTTGTGTCAAGAAGTCTGCTATCACCCTTATTGATTTATCTGTGTACATGATTTGTTGCCTTTCTCTAACAGCTTTTAAAATTTTGTCCCCTGATAGATATGTGGAATTTTTAGCACAATGTAGCATCTAGAGGTTCTCTTTTGGTCACAGCTATTTGGTGTTCTATATGCCTCACTTATCAATATGTTTATTTCTTTCCTCATATTTGGGGAATTTTCTGCCATTATTTCTACAAACATTTTTTTATGCCATTTGTGTTATCTTCTGATTTTTCACTTATTCCAATTATTCTTAGTCTTCTTCGCATCAATGAGCAGTTTTGGATCCATCTTTCACGCTATTTTATTGTTTTTGAGGTGTCATTATTTGTTCTTTGAAGGTATCACTGTCTCCTACATCTGTCCTCACATTGGTTGGTTCTACTGCCCATAATTTCATTCAGTGTGATTTTTAATCTCGTGTACTTCTGTTTGAAACCTTTTCATGGACTCTCATTCTTTGGTAAACTGGTCATTCATGTTTTATATTGTTCTATTTAGCTTATCTAGTTTTTTATTAGTGTCTTCTGAAAGCTCCTGCATCTTTTTGGTAATTATTTCTATTATTTGTTTAGTTATATCTTCTCTAACCCTGCTAAGTACTTCTGTAAGATGATTTCTAACCTTCTCTGCTACCCTTTCAATTAATTTGTGTGTATAGTTTATATTTCTTTGCCTTTCAGTATCCCCTGGATTGGCTTCAGGGCAGGTGGGACTTTGGGGAGGCATTTTGTTCCCACATTAGAAAAACAAAATGCACTCAAATAAGTAACCTAAAGATAGAGGTTAAGGCCACAGAAAAACAAGAACAATACAAACCCAAAGCTAGTACAAGGAAGGAAACTGTAAACATCAGAGCAGGGATTAATTAAATAGAGACTGAAAAACAATACAAAAATCAATGAATTAAATAGTTGGTTCTTTGAATGACTGAAGAAAATAGACAATCTTTAAGCCAATCTTATTAAAACAAGGAAAGACCCAATCCATGCAACTAGAAAAGAAAAAGGTGAAATTACAACAGATTCTGTGTAAATCTATAAGATTATTAATAACTGCTTTGAGAAACTGTACACTAATAAAATGAAAAATTCAGAAGAAATGAGTAAATTCCTAGATATATATCATTACCAAACTGAACCAAGAAGATATAAAAATTTTATATAAGCCAATATCAGTTAGTGAAATTAAGGAGGTAATAAAGAAAAAACTACCCACTAAGAAAAACCCAGGTCTTGATGGATTCACTACCAAATTCTACAATAACTTTACAGAAGATCTAGTGCCAATTCTTCTCAAATTCTTTATTAAGATTGAAAGGTAAGAAATACTCTCAAAGTCATTCCTGGAAGCAAGCATTATCTTGATTCCAAAATTGGAAAAAGACGCCCCCCCCCTCAAAAAAGAACTATAAAACAATTTCTTTAATGAACATACATACAAGAATCCTCTGGGAAGCAGACTGCAAAACATCATCAAAAAGATAGTATATACTTCATAGTCAAGTAGGATTCATTCCAAAGATATGGAGATGTTTCAACATATACAAATCAGTAAATCTAATTCACCACATAAACAGGAGCAAGTACAAAAAAATATATGACCATCTCAATAGATAGAGAAATAGCATTTGACAAAACTCAATACCCATTCATGATAAAAAAAAACTCTCAAGAAAATAAAAATAGAGATTTTAATTCTTAATCTAATAAAGGCCATCTATGACAAACCAATACCAATGGAGAGAAACTCAAGCATTCCCTCTAAATTCAGTAACAAGACAAGAATTTCTGCTGTCATCATTTTTGTTCAACATAGTTCTTGAAATACTAGCTAGAGTATTTAGACAAGAGAGAGAGCCTGGCAAACACTAGATTATGAGTTCAATTTCTGAGAGAGAGTGAGAAAGAGAGAGAAAGAAAAAGAGAGAGAGAGAGAGAGAGAGGAGGAATATGGATAGGGAAAGAAGTTATGATCATTATTTGCAGATGACATAATCTTCAACATAGAAGATGATAAAAAGTTCACCAAAAGACTTCTAGAATTAATAACCAAATTTAGTAGTGCAGCAGGATACAATCAGCACCTAAAAATAGAGTGCTGTACACCAATAACAAACTTGCTGACAGGGAAATTAGGAAAGGACTACCTTTTACAATAGCATCAAGAAAAATGAAATACCTAGGAATTAACGTAACCAAGGAAGTGAAAGACCGCTACAACAAAAACTATAGTACTCTGAAAAAAGAGATTGAAGAGGATATGAGAAAGCTGAAAGACAGCCTGTGTTTCTGGGATGGGCAGAACCAATATAGTGCAAATGGCCATACTTCAAAAATTGTTATATAAATTTAATGCAATCCCAATCAAAATACTAATAACATTTCTTAGAGAACTGGAGAAAGCAATCCTAAAATTCATATGGGACCAGAAGAGACCTAAAATAGTAAAAGCAATTCTGGCCAACAAGGGCAAGGCAGGGACCATCACAATCTTGGACCTCAAGTTATATCAGAAAGGTACTATCAAAAACCAAAAAAAGCAGCATGTTATTGGGAAAAAACAGACTCGTGGATCAGTTGGACAGAATAAAGGATGCAGAAACAATTCCAGGCACATTCAGCTACCTTATCTTTGACAAAAGGGCCAAACACTTGCTGGAAGAAAGATAGCCTCTTTGAACAAATATCTGGGAAAACTGGCTTTCCACATGCTGAAGGTCCAGCTTATATCTCTCACCATGCACTACATTAAAATCAGAATGGATGAAAGATCTCAACATAGAACAGAAATGATCTGCTAGAAGACAAAATAGGTATATGTAGAATAATGTCTTTCAGCTATTATTTTCTTGAGTATTTTTTCTGCTCCATTCCTTTTGCCTTCCTACTGTGGTACTTCTCTTATCCTTATGCTTGTTGTTTAAAGATGTCTCACATTTCTTTAAGGATCTGTACACTTTTTTTCATCCTATTTTCTCCCTGTTCTTAAGATTCTATTTGCTCTACTTATGTAAGTTTAAATTCACTAACTCTTCTTCCAGTTCAAATCACTGTTGAGCCTCTCTAACAAAGGAGATTCATTTTGTTTATTGTACTTTTCAAACACCAGGTTTTCATTTGGTTCTTTATTATAATTTTATTTCCTTTATGATAATCTTTGTTTGATGACCCACTGTCTTTTCATCTTTAAGCACGGTTTCTTTTAGTTCTGTGGGCATATGTCTAATAATTACTTTGAAGTCTTTCACCAGGAAATCTAACATCTGGGCCCTCTCACAGGTAGTTTCTCCTCCCTACCTGTTCTAAAGTGTATGAGCCACACTTTCATATTTTGTTGTTAAAAACAACCTTTTGTGTAATATAGTAACTCTGGATTATGATTCCCTTCCCTCTTTAAAACTTGTACTTGCTGCTTGTGGTTATTAGTTTGGTGACCTTTGTAGGCCATTTTAGCACAGTTTATTTTCCTTCATACTGTGAAACCTTGGTATTCGCCTCAAAAGACCCGGACTGAGACAATCACAGAGTCTCCCTAGGGTGGTAGTGATTTAAGTCAGAACTTTGTTTAATTGTGAACAGGGTTTCCCTTAATTTCGCAGCTAAATTGACTCATTTGATGCTAAACTAGGCACTGTATTTGGCTTATCTGATTCATGGCAAATTTTTCTCTCTCTCTCTCTTTTTTTTTTTTTTCTCAGCAAACTGCTCCAGTTAAATTCAACCAGGAAGAGTTCTGAGGTCAGTCCCTCAGGTTTGTCCTCCCCTCAGAAGGACTCTTTGGAGCTATCTTTTTCCCTGGTCTCTGATAAATTAGCTACCCTATGGTTTATCTTGCTGATCTTAGTTTAGAGGAGTTATTTTATCACAATCTCAGAAGTGAAATTCTACACATTCATTTTCAAATAAAGACATCCGGGGCTTTGGGATTTCTTGTTTATGTCCTACTTCTGACCACATGCAAAATCTTTGAGTCACTACTATTAGAGCTAGTGGGGTGATTGTTGCTATTCTTCTTGGCTTGCCCCCCTTAACCCCTTGCAATTTTTGCTCTATTAGTGAGTGGAGTGAGGGTGGTTAGGGCCCCAGTATTCTTTGCTTGCTATGTGTAAGTTACAGACTGTGGCCTATGGACACAAGTTGGTTGGAAAAAATAGAGCTCTAACTTTTGTCACTTTTGTTAGGAATTAGAGTTGGAAGGGATGAGAAATTCTGATGAAATAGAATAATCTCCTGGTGAGATGTCTCCCTTTCCTGTTGAGATGTGGTAATCTTGCGGGAGAGCTCAAAAAAGTCATAATCCCATACGCTTCACCACTTGCTTGAAGTGGAGCTTCCATCAAGAAAAGCTGTGATATGGGTATAGTGGATTGATAACTGGTGGTCAACTTAAAACCCCCAGCTGAACTGAGTAAGCATAGTGCTGGGTATGGGAGGCCAAACCGGGGATTGTTGCTAGCTGCATAAGAAGCAGAACTGGAGAAGAAGTGAAGCTGTTGGGAGCAGAGAAAGGCTGTTGGAGCTGGTGGAAGCTGTAAGGAGCTGTTGGTTCTGTTGGAGGAGCTTGTCATCCTGGCTTTCCTGATGAACTTGGCTGTTTTCATCCTCCAAGGAGCTCGAGGCCTTGTTGGTACTGAGAATAGCTTCAGTTCATTTTGGGGGAGCTCTGGTCCTCACCCTGAGCATTGCTTCCTGGCTCCGGAGGGAAAGTTGGTGCTTTGCCAGTCTCCAGGAGAAGCTTGCTGCATTGGCTTCCCTTATGGGAACTCGGCCATCTTGATCATCAGAGGAGCTCAGGACCTCACTGTTGCTGAGGATGGCTGTGCTACCTTACAGAGGAGCTCTGGTTCTTCTGAGCATCGCTTCCTGGCTCCAGAGTAGATCCCTCAGCCTGCTAGCACAGATCCTTCATCCCGTTGATGCAGACTTCCTAGATTCCACCACTGACCTTTGAGTCTTCCCAGCACAGAACTTCGAAACAGGCCTGCATGAGACGTTGTCATCGGCTCTGGGCCTCCAGCTGGATTCACGGAAGGCATTGTTATGAGCGCTAGGTATTCAGCAGGACTCATGAAGGACATTTCCATGGGATCCAGGCCCTCATCTAGTTTCCTTGGTCTTAGTGTGTGGACAGATTTCCTGCACTCTCTTGTATATCATTCTTTGGGTGACTATTATAAATCATCTTATACGAATATGTGTCCTGTAATATATTGTTCCCTTACAAAAATAATGCCCAAACCAACACAATGGGGAAGAAGTACATTATGGATTCAAAGCCAAAGACTCATTTTTCTTACTGAGTTTTAATAAATTTACTTGAATACCTGTTTCTGCATTTATTTTCAGGACAATTTCTAAAGACCCCATAGGGCTGGGTTTTAATAGTTTGATGAGCTTTGTTTATTTCTGTGGAGAATGGGTCTTTGGAGTTCTTCTGATCTTTAGCCTAGAGGTAGAACTAAATCTTCATAATATTTTGATTTTGTCTTTCCAGTTAAAAGTTTCATTCAATTTTACAATAATGGCCTTGAGCAATATAATGCAGAGTCAGTCTTAAATGCTAATATACATCACTTGGTCATTTAAAGTTTAAGTATGTTCAAGATAAAGAACATGTTGCTATAAATATCCAACAGAAATTAAATCTGGTTGCAAAAAATAATTATACGTCACACTTTAAATTATGGTATGTGAACCCATTGGACACCAATAATATATTTCATAAATATTATCTCCTAGTTATGAATGTCCTGGACCCAAATCAGTTTAGAGGAAAACTTCACACATAATGTTATTTTGAAAATTATATGGTATGTGAAGGACATTTAGTCAGATAATAAGGTTAAGTGTCTGTATATCTTTTTAGACTCATGCTTTGTCTAAAGTATGAAATTTTGGATGTGAAAACAAAAGCTAAAGTAAACACGAGGTCAAACTTACTAATAAAAGGCATCTCTGATTCATCAAAAATGTTGTTTTCCCTCAGAGACCTGACTCCAGTGTTTATGAGAGATTAGCATAAATGTGCTGACCACAATTTATATTGATAAAGGCAAAGAGAATGAATTCTAAAGGTCAGCTATTAAATATTCAAAGTGCAATCTGTTAGCCACAAGAATATCTAATAAGTAAATATTTTCTTTTTTTCTAAATTCATTTTTGTGTCCTCTAGTACTTTTTGTTGAACCACACACATACACTGATTACAGTGAGAGTAACATTAGCTGGTGAATATTTGAAACAATGAAACTATTACCATGCATAAGCATTTTTGTAGGAAACCAGAAGAGAATGAAGGAGTGGCCCAAAGCATTCATGCATTCAACCCAAAAGACCTAAAAGAAAACAAAAGAAAGTCACCATAATAGCTTGATCTAACATTATGAAATGTAACATTGTGTATTATACAGTCAGAAGGCTGAAATGCTTTTCTGGAGATTGAAAAACTTATATTTCTTTATTCTACTTTTATAAGAAATGACTGAAAAATTACACAATAACATTATTTGACTTTTTTAAACTACAGGTTAACAATACTGAAATTCTTTACTATGATAGGATAACATTATTATAGGGTAACATATTTAAATTTAATAAATAAAAATGTATAGGGTTAAATATATTGACTATGAAAACTGAAAGGTTAAACTGTCATGCTCCAGTGTTTCTGCAGAACAGAAGTAATTTTAAAAGAAATAAAAATATTTTCAGTTTTAAAATTAAATAACTTTAAATGTAATTGCATGCTATATATGATATGCTTTTACCTTTACATCTGCACTCTGACCCTTCTCAAAAATTATTTGTAATAGACAATGCACAGTTTCTTAAAGGAAACCTCAATAATATAAAATCTCTGAGTTCAGACAAGGGTACATATCAATTAACTGACAGAAACACTGAAAAAAATAAATCATTATTCTTTTTTATTTTAAATATACCAATTACTTTCATGCTTTCCAGGAAATCTTATAGATACAAACCAACAAACTTTTTCTGTAAAAGAACAAATAGTATTGTAGGCTGCAGTGGTCATATAATTGCTACTCAATCACTCAACTTTGTTCTTGTAACAGCCATAAATAATATGTAAATGAATGGACATGACTATATTACAATGAAACTTTGGAATATAGGAACATGCAAAAAGTATGTAAATGAGCAAGTAATATGTAAATGAATGGACATGACTATATTCCAATGAAACTTTGTTCATAAAAACAGGCAGAGGACTGGACTTATCCACAGGTCATAGTTTGCTCATGATCCTACTATTAACCCACAAATGCAAGAAGTTAAACAAACCCTAAGAGATCCAACAAGCAAAAAGAAAAAAGAAGAAACAACAACCATCATAATGAAATGCCCATACATTTCTAGTAATAAAGAAGACAAATCTTAAAAGCAGCCACAAGAAAAAGACATATGCCTTACAGAGGAATAAGGGTGAGCAATTTCACATCAAAATAATATATACAAAAAGATGAAATGGGAAGTATTAACCTAAAGTTTTATACCAAGTGCTATGGTTTAAATTAATGTCCCCATATGTGAACCCTTGGTCCCTAAGGTGGTGCTGCTGGGAGGTGCTGTTGACTTTTCAAAGGTGGACCTCATGGGAAGTGTTTAGGGCACTGGCAGTGGTGAGGGGCACATCCTTGAGTAGATGTGCACGACCTAGCCCAGCTCATTTTTCTTCTTCATAGCTCAAAATGGAAACAGTTCACACCAGTATAGGTTCCCTGTCACTGATATCTAGTGCCCTCACTGCATGCTCAAAGGTACAGGACCACTCGACTGTACAGTGCAATCAGAAACTAAATAAATGTTTCCTTTTTATGAAATAATTTCCTCTGGTATTTTGTTTTACAAACAGGAAGCTGACTAATACACTAAACAAATGTAACTTCAAATGTGACGTGGAAGACATTTTCACACATAGAAAAGTTGTTAAGGCAGCACTGTGGGAGCAGTCCCAGCAGGCAGCTGTGGCGGAAGTAGCTCCAGCAGGGGGCCTGCAGAACCAGCAGCTGGTGAGTGAGGTGAACCAGCACTGTGTTTCACACACAGACGTGGGGAGCAGAAGCAGTCAGGTGGGGTCGCCATTTTATTTGAAAGAGATCAGGGCAAACCCCAGGGGCAGAACAGTCCTGGGTTGCTGCACTGCCAAAGTCCTGGAGTGGAATGAGGGAAGAGCTATCCAGTCACAGTGGACTGCTGGCAGTTAAGAAGCAGGCGAGGGGGACTTCTGCTGAGAGGCAAGAGCTAGGAACACCCAGGATTCCATGCCAGTGGCCACCAAAAGTATCTTAACCCTAAATACAAAGGACTGGAAATCTCTCTCTGGTCTGTGACCAGCAGAATAGCCTTAACCTGGTGGCACAAACAGGTGAACAACCTATGTTGTACAAGGGCACTACCCTTGCCCTATGATGAGCAGGTAGGAGGAGTCAATGGTGTAGAACTGAGGAAGGTATGCAAGGTCCAGAAGGAGCCAATTATACAGGGGTCTGGAAGGAGCCCCGGGATTTCCCTACCATAGCTACTACAGAGTGCCATAGCTACTACAGAGTGCCATAGCTACTGGTAGAGCACTACAGAGACAAACACAGTAAGGAAAAGTGGACATCCAGAACATTGTCAGATGAGGACCAGTCTTAGACCTCACATCCAGAGAAAAAGATCAATCCATTACCCAGCACAAGTCCTACTGCAAACTTGGCATGGCTGCACAGTACATTTAGGAATCTGAAATGGACAACAGTACAGAACTATAAACACTAGAGGAATTTTATTATTTTTCTTTTTCTTTGTTTGATTGTTTCTTTTTTCAGTCCATGTTATGGTTTGTGTCTACATGTCCCCCCAAAACCTCATTTAGTCTTAGGCATTTTTGGAGATGGGTGAATCTAGAGTTTGTGACTGATTCAAGGTGCAATGCTGGGATTAAGGCTATGAGTGCTACACCTGCCATTGGGCGGATAGCCTACACATGATATAAAGGGCAGAAAGAAGCATGTCTCTCTCTCTTCCCACTCTCTTCTTTTGCTTGCTTTTTCTGTCTACTGTTGCCCCTCTGTCATGTGCCATCCTGTTTTGGAGCCAGCTGATTATGGACCAAAATCTCTCCAAGCTGTGAGCTAAATAAACCTTTCCTCCTTTAATTTTTGGAGTCAGATTTTTGTCTCAGTAATGAGAAAAGTAACTAAGACAGCCTGATTGGGGCTTTTTGTTTTCTTTCTTTTGATTATTTTCTTTTCTTACCTTTATTTTTGTTTTGTTCTATTTATCTTCTTTCTCCCTTCCCTCAGCTATCTCTCATGATTTCATGATACCTTCATGTGACAGAACAATGTTTTTTCCTTTTTTTGGTTTGCTTCAATGTTGCTAGGTTGTGCTTGATGCTATTATTTATTATTACTAATTGTACTACTTTAGCCAGAACGTCATATATGTTGTAATTAGTTTTTCTCCTTCGTATGACAACACTGACTGTCTGGGGTAATAACCATCACCATAGTCCAGTAGCAAAGGATGAGATGCTGAGCTAGATAAAAACTTCTCATCCTTAATAAATTGAGAAGGTAGTGTCTTGGGATAGACACAAAGATCAAGAACCACCTATACCTTGAAGACAACTCTGAGAAATAGACATTGCATAGGGAAGCCTTGATATTAGAGATAAAGGTGTCTACCATAAAAAATCTATAAGTAATGCCACAGACAATAAAACAAACTAAAAAATAGAAAATGACAAGACACAGAAGCATACTGCAACACCAGACCTCCAACCCACTCAGGACAGATCCAGGGGACAATGAGATAAAAGAAATTGGAATCCATACACTGCAACTTTCTAAAATGAAGCAGAAGTGAGAAAACAAATGGGTATGGCTATAGAAAAATAATCTATCAGGCAAAAAAATAAATGGAATTCAAAGGAAAAGACATGCCCAATGGATCTAGAATAGAAAAAGATTTTGAAGACTAGAAAAGCTTAGGAAAACCATGGAAAACAAGAGTGCCCAACATATAAAAGAAATGGAAGCCATGAACACATCCAAACAGATATACAGGAGATTGCATATCTGTTCCATTGGCAGTATACATGTAGATTGAGCAAAGGCAAAAATAGAATACCAGATCCAGAAGACAGGATTGTGGTTAGCAAGGACAAAAAGAAAGATATCTTAAAAATAGCAAGAGAGCATGAAAAATCAATCCAACAGCTGCAAGATGAAGCAAAAGAACAACATAAGATTGATTGGAGTCAAAGAGAAAGCCAGAGATAGCACAAATACCATAAAAAAAACTCTTCACACAACTAATGGCAGAAAAATTCCCAAACACAGGAAAAGATTTGACATAGAAATAAGTGATGCAGTCTACAGCCATACCACCCTGAACATGCCCAATCTCATCTGATCTCAGAAATAAGTGATGCATATAGAATTCCAATTAACCATGACCAAAATAAATCTACACGAAAGCATATAAATATCAAGATTCTAGAAATTCAGCACAAGAACAGAATATTAAAAGCAGTTAGAGAAATGAAACCCATTAGAATCACAGCAGATGTCTCAACACAAACTCCCAAATCAAGGAGAGCTTGGAATAAAGTAATTTAATTCCTAAAAGAAAACAACCTCCAACCCACATTGATGTACCCTGCAAAACTGTCTTTCAAATTGATGGAGAAATAAGATAACCCATATATGACAAAGAACAACTGAAGAAATTCATGACCACCAAACCAGCTCTCCAAAATGTATGAAAGATATTTTAGAAAAAGATAAGGATGACCACACTTCCAAAAACACCAACAGAAAAAATCCACCAGGCTAGGCAAGCAATCACACACAGGTGAAAGACAGGTTACCAACAAAGAAAATAATATGAAAAGGATAACCCAAAACATATCAGTTATAGCCATCAATGTAAATGGTCTCAACTCACAAAACAAGAGAAATAGATTGGTGGAATGGATCAAAAAGCAAGATCCAACATTATGTCATATACAAGACACATTTAATTGAAAAAGAAATGCATAGGCTAAAAGTCAAAGGATGGAAAACAATACTCCAAGCAACAGGAATCCCCTCAAGAAAGAAGTGGTAACTATTCTATTTGTGGACAATGTGAAACTCTAGACAAGACTGATCAAAAGAGACAAAGAAGGTCACTACATACTTGTGAAGGGAAAACTCCAAGAAGAAGAGACAACAATCATAAATACATATGCACCAAATACTGGTGCACCCAACTGCATAAAGCAAATATGAACAGACATAAAAAGTTAATTAAACATCAATTAAGCACTAACACAATTGTAATGGGGAAACTTAATACCTCACTGTTGCAAACAGACAGAGCCAATAGACAAAAAGTCAACAAAGACATATCAGAACTAAATCAAGCCTGTGAATAAATAGACTTAGCAGATGTCTACAAAGTGATCCACTGCAAAACACCAGAAAACACATCCTTCTCAATGGCATATGGGACTCTCTCCAAGATAGACCACATACTATCCTATAGAACATGCTTAAGTAAATGCAAAGTAATTAAAATTATCACATGCATATTACCTGACCATAGTGCACTGAAACTGGTAATCAATGACAAAAGAAACCACAAAAACTATATAAACACATGGAAATTAAATAATATCCTCCAGAACACCAATGGGTCACAAATGAAATTAAAGAAGAAATGAAATAGTATCTATAATTAAATGATAATGCCAATACGACATACCCGAACTTATAGGATGCAGTGGAAGCAATCCTAAGAGGGAAATTTACAGCAGTGAATTGTCATATCAGGAAAGCAGAATGAGCTCAGGTAAACTAATGTTGAATTTCAAACTTCTAGAAAAAGAAGAATAAATCAAACCAAGAGCTCAAATGAGGGAGGAAATTATAAATATAAGAACAGAAATTAATGTAAAGCAGACTAAGAACACAATACAAAGCATCAATGAGCTGAAGAGTTGGTTTTTAGGAAAGATTAAATGAAACTGATAAACACTTAGCCAACCTTATGAAAAAGAGGCAAGAAAGGGCTCAAATTCATACATTTAGGAATGAAAAAGCCAAAATCCCAGTGGATGCTATGGAAATCCAGATCATCAACACTTACTTCAAGAACCTGTACTTCAGTAAGATGAAAACCACAGAATAAATTGACAGATTCCTACATGCATATGAATTAACAAAGTTGAATCAAGACCATATAAACATTCTAAATAACCCAATATCAGTCAAGGAAACTGAAAATATAATTAAAAACTTACCAACAAAGAAAAGCCCTAGCATTTCACCATTGAATTCTACAAGATATTTGAAGAATATCTAATGTCACTAATTTCCAAACTCTTTAATGTAATTGAAAGGGAAGCAATTCTCTCTAAATCATTCCTGGAGGCAAGTATTACTTCGATACCAAAACCAGAGAACAACCCAACTAAAAAAGAGAACTACAGGCCAATCTCCCTAATGAACATAGATGCAAAAATACTCCATAAAACACTAGCAAACAGAATGCAGAAAATCATCAAGAAAATTCTACACCATGACCAAGTGGGATTCATCAAAGGAATGCAGGGATGGTTCAATATATGCAAATTAAAAAATGTAATACACCATATCAACGAGCTAAAGACAAAAATCACATGATCATCTCAACCGATGCAGAAAAAGCTTAGGATAAAGTTCAACACTCATTCATGAAAAAAACTACAGAAAATTGGAGCAGAAGGTCTTTATCTCAATCTGATGAAGGCCATCTAGGACAAACAACGAGCCAACATCATACTAAGTGGCCAAAAATTAAAAGCTTTCAGCCTAAAATCAGGAACAAAACAAGTATGTCCACTCTCACCACTCCTATTTAATATAGTTCTGGAAACATTAGCCAGAGCAATTAGACAAGAAAAAGAAATAAAAGGAATAAAGATAGGACAGGAGGAAGTGAAATTGTTATTTGCAGATGACAAGATACTCTACATAGGAGACCCCAAAAACTCCACCAGAAGACTTCTAGATTTAATAACCAAATTCAATAACATAGATGGATACAAAGTCAACACTCAAAAATCAATAGCATTCCTGTACACTAACAACAAATGCACTGAGAGAGAAATTAGGGAAACCATACATTTCATAATAGCATTAAAAAATTAAATACTTAAGAATCAATCTAACAAAAGAAGTAAAAGACCTATACAGTGAAAATTACAGTACTCTGAAAAAGGAGATCAAAGAGGATTTCAGAAAATGGAAAGCTATTCCTTGCTCATGAATAAGAAGAACCAAGATGGTGAAAATGGCCATACTCCTAAAATTGTTTTACAGATTTAATGCCATCTCAATCAAAGGACTATTAGCATACCCCATAGAACTAGAGAAAACGTTCTTAAAATTCATTCGGAACCAGAAGAGCCTGAGAATAGCAAAAACAGTCTTAGGCAAGAAGGGCAAAGCAGGGGGCATTGCAATCCCAACTTTCAAATTATACTACAAAGCTACTGTGATAAAAACAGCATGGTACTGGCAAAAAAACCCCAGAACTGAGGATCAATAGAACAGAGTAGAAGACGCAGAAACAACTCCAAACACATTCAGCCAAATTATCTTTGACAAAAAGGCCAGCCACGTTCACTGGAAGAAAGACAGCATCTTCAATAAATGGTGCTAGAAAACTGACTTCCTATAGGCCAAAGACTAAAACTAGACCCATGTCTCTCATCATGCACTAAACTAAAATCAAAATGGATGAAAGATCAAATATTAAAACAGAAACACTAAATCTGCTGGAAGACAGAATATGTAGAACTCTTGAAGACATAGGTGTAGGCAAAGATTTCGTGAACAAAATTCTGATTGCATACTGACTTCTATTGCTTTACTGAAAGGAACAGTTAATGATTAATTATGTGATCAGTCTTGCAGGTCTCTATTTGTTTTCCTGAGAAACCACTTTGAAGATATTAATACGTAATACAACAACCATTGTTAATTTCCTACCACTTTGTCTGTAACTCTGTATTGCTTGTATTGTTCTTATGCTATTTTGTAAATGGATGTCTGTTTATTAATATGTTTTCCTTCTTTTATTTTTAAAATAAATTTTTAAAAAATTCTGATTGCACAGGAAGTACTTCAAAACATTTACAACTGGGATCCATCCTATTAAAAAGCTTTCACACAGCAAAAGAAATTACCAATAGGTTGAATAGACAACCCAAAGAGTAGGAAAAAATTTTAGCCAGTTGTCTCTCAGACAAAGGAATAATATCTAGAACATATCAAGGATTCAAAAAAACCAGACACCCCCCCACCCAAAATTTAAAGTCCCTATCCAAAAATGGGCATCTGAGGTGAATACACACTTCTCAGTGGAAGGGATGCAGATAACAAATAAATATATTTTAAAATGTTCAACATCACTGGTCATTCAAGAGATGCAAATTAAAACAGTGTTGAGATTACATCTCACCTGAGAAAGAATGGCTATTATCAAGAAATCAACCAGTAACTAATGCTGGAGGCTCTGTGGGTCAAAGGAGCCCTTCCCCACTGCTGGTGGTTGTGTAGACTGAAGCAACAACTGTAGAAATTAGTGTGGTGATTCCCCCAAAAAATTAGGATTAGAGATCCCATTTGACCTGGCTATCCCCTTCTGGGTGTCTTCCTGGAAAAATTAAAAGCATCATATCACAGCAATATATGCACACACATGTTTATAGTGGCACAGTTTGTAATAGCTAAATCTTGAAAATATCCATCATTCAAGGAATGGATGAAAAAGATGTGGGTTTTTTTATACAATGAAGTACTATTTAGCCATAAAGGAGGATAAATTTGAGATATTCCTAGGTAAATGGATGTACCTTAACACCATACTTTTAAGTGAAATAGATCAAACACACATCTGTAAATATCATATTGTTTTTCTGGTGTGAGAAACCAAAAGTATAAGTAAGGACTGAAGTATAAAAGGTATTGTGAAACAGAAGAAATTTTTCAAAAGAAAGGGGAACTATTTGGGGAGAGGGTAAAAGGAAGGAAGAGAAAAGAAAGAAAGATGATAAAAGCAAAGAATGGAAACAAAGATTTATAAATACGCGAGGGAAGAGGGCTTGATGGGAGTGGATTGGGAAAAAAAGAAGAATAAGAATATGTCACGTACAGGTACAAATTCCATATGATGAATGTGATCATTATGTATATCTAAATTGTACCAATAAACTTAATAAGAATGAAACAGTTTTTTAAAACAAAGCCAAAATAAAACAAAACAAAAAGTGCTAAGACTTAATTTTCAACAGACTTGCAAAATAAAGAAATGTTCTTAAAAGAGAACAAAATGGTAACAGATTAATAAAGTGAAATTTCACAGAGAGTAGAAGATCACTGGTAATGACAAGTAATTAATTTCAAATGGAAGTGAATAAACCCACAGTATGGTGGAGTTGTTAATGCCTAATGGAACTAGTTTTCAATAACTAATGGAGGGGCTGGGGATTTAGCTCAGCGGGACAGCACCTGCCTGGCAAGTGCAAGGTCGTGAGTTTGATTCCCGGTACCAGAAAAAAACAAACAAAAAAAACTAATGGAACAAGTGGATGGAAAATTCGGTAAGGACGTAAAAGGTTTGGACAACACTAAAACTTGACCTGGTTAACACATTTCTGCAAGGGATGAAACGTTTAGGAGATAGACAATTTTGGTCATAAAGTAAGTCTCAATATATTTAAAATGCTTACATTTCTTCCAGGTGTTTATATCTTTTAAAAGTTTTGCTAATAATTGAGAATTATAGTTAGGCTTACTTGAAATTGACAAGAGTATATATCATTGTTCTGGTAACCTATAAAGTACCCTCTCCCTGTGAATCTCAACTTGTATTAGCTCAGAAAGTGATTGTTCTAAGATAATCTCTTGGACAACATGCTATCTAAAAATAGATCTTAGTTCCTCTTCAGTCCTTCCCAGGGTTTCCCTCTGCACATGCTCCCAGAAGATGTTTGGTATGCAATCTGTGAACCACACACGGTACCTTACTTCTTTTTTCACACAATCTTTCTTTTTTCACTTCACACACAATATTATTTCTGTTATTAGAACCTCAATTCCTTGGACAAGCTAAACTAGCAAGAAGATGGCACCATGTTCTTTCCTTGGATATTTTTCATTACTTTTTCCTAAGCATCCTTGGGAAGAGACCCAAGTTATCCACAATAAATTTTCCACTTACCCTTGTGTTGAAAATTTTCCCTTTCTGAGAAATTGTATAGAGTTGTGGATGTTTGAGTAGGTTCTTTTGACTGCAGCATTGTTCAAAAATTCCAAGAGTGAAAGGTGGCAACGAAGTGAAAAACTACATAGAAAATAAGCATTTGTTAAAGGTTTTAGCTTATACTTGACTAAATAACACTGTACCAATGTTAATTCACTTGATAAGTATTATATATAAGACATTATTATGGGAGAATCTGGATAAAGGATATATAGAATTCTCAATCTGTTGCAGCTAGTGGTAAGTCTTAAACTATTTAAAAATAAAAGATATTATGAAGGTGGTATTATTCAGTCACATTAATTGAAAGGGATCTACCAAATCATGACAGTTTTTCAGACCGATTCAACCCGTTGATTCAGTGGTTCTTGTCGAGGAGGGAACCTTGTAACAGAAGGCATCATATTATGGGAAAGTAGGGGAGGACAGGACAAAGAAAGGAAGAAGCAAGAAGGAAGGAAAGAGGAGAGAAACTGAGATGAAGGACACTGCAAGAAGGGAGATAGACGTACACAAACTATGTTGACTGTCATTTTGACCACATGCTGACAAGAAGACGTCTTTTAAAAAATGACATTTGAATCTCATCTGGAATGGTGTTTCTTCATATTTCTGCTTCACATGGTATCTCTTCCCGTGGCCATTTAACCAGGGTTTCCTCACAAAGAGCACCCAGGGAGGGTTTTGCTTCAGTGAGAAAGTATCTTTCACCTCTGCGTGTCTCATGTTTTCGCTGTCCTATTGGCCAAATCAAGTCACATGACCAAGCCCAGCGTGAGTAGGTAAAGCAAAAGGTGTGGATACTGAGGAGCAGGAACAAACAAAAGCCTTTATTATAACAATCTGGCATACTACATAGACTGCATTTTCCTTACAGTTTTGTACGGGGACTGCATTGGCAGCAATTAAAGAAAGCTTTCCTTCTTTTCCAATCCATTCACTATAAATTATTCATTTATTAAACTGTTACATTGCACTAGCTAGGATCTCCAGGCAATACTGAATGGAACAGGTAACACATATATTTTTGCCTTGATTCTGATCTTAAGGGAACACATTTATTGTTCCACCATTAAGTATGCTATTGGCTATAGAAGTTTTGTAGAAACCCTGTTTTAGTGTTCATCAGGAAGTAATAATGAATTCTCTCAAATGTTCTTACAGCATCTGATGAGATGACTATATGATTCTTCTTTTTTAATCTATTAACACAGTGGATTACATTGATTGAAATGTAATTGTAAACCAAATTTGCATTCCTGGAGCAAGTCCTGATTTGTCAAAAAGTATTTCTTTTTTTTTATGTTGGTGCATGTGATTTGCTAGATTCTGTGAGGGATGTTTGCATCAATATTCATGAAGAGTATTTGTTCTTTTCTGTAATCATTTTTTTTCTGGTTTTGGTATTGGAGTGCAGCTTCATCATAACTAAGCTGGGGGCTTTCCTGCTCTCTTGTCTTAAAAACGTTTTGAAAATTTGTTAAAGCATTTTGGATTTAATTTTGATAGGAAATTTTTTGAGACTTCAAAACTTTACTAGATATGAGGTCATTTAGTAGATGTGGGGTCATTTGGTAGTTTGTGACTTTTAAGGAATTTATCTATTTCATTAAAAAGCTCATCTTTCTCACCTAATATGTAAATGATGTCATAAAGTTGTTCATAATATTTCCTTATCCACTTACTATCTGTAGGCTCTGTAGTGATGACTGTTTTTCATTCCTCATAGTGTATTCTTTTTGTTTAATTATACATTGATCAGTTTACCTAGAGAATTATCCACCTAATTGAGTCTTCCTAAGAGTCAGTATCCTTTTTCATTGGTTTTCTCTATTGCTTCTTGCTTTACATTTCTTTACATGTATTTTTTCTTTTGCTCTGCTTAATTTGGGATTCATTTCTTCTTCTTTTTCTAGTTTCCTGAGGATGATCCTTGGGTCGCTGATTTAAGCCCTTATTTCTAATATAAGCACTTTAGTATATATGCTGCTGAAATGAGCACAATAATAGAAGCATTTTAAAATGTAAATTTTTTTCTATCCATTGCTTTAGTGACATCTAAAATTTAATTTAAAAAGTTTTTATCCTATTCAAAATATCTTCTGACTTTTCCGGCAACCTATGGTGCATTTAAATATGTGTTCTTTAATTTTCAAATGAACGGGCATTTTCCTAGTATATTGTTGTTATTGATTTCTAGCTTAAATCTATTATGTTCAGAGAACATATTCTGTATAGCATTAGTGTTTCAGAATGTGTTAAGTCTTATTTTATTGCACAGCATGTCATTTATTCAACATGCATTTTGAAATAAAATGTATACTTTGCTGTTGTTATTGGGTGGAGTTTTCTGTGTGTTAATTTATCAAATAGCTATAATATTGTTCAAATATTCTATATACTTCCTAAATTTTCATCTATAGTTTCTATCCATTAAAAAAAAAGTAGTCTTAAATACCTAACTACATGAATAGATTAAATTAATTTACATTTAATTATATCAGTTTTTATATGCCATCTTTTTATTTTAAAGATAATAAAGTGATATAGAATTTCAAAACAAGATGATAGGAGATTAATAATGGTTATTATATTGCATATTGTTATCTTCAAAGTAGTTGCTCAGGTTACCAGATATAGGCATGTAAGTGATTATATATTTAGAATTTTGTGTTCTTGATAAATTAATCCCTTTATCATTAAAAATGTTCACCTTCAGTGTATCTAATAGTGTACCTTAACTAGTATGACTGTCTTATGTGTTTTATATGACTTACGTCTATTAGCCTGGTTGTTAATCTATTTGTTTTATTTTATTTATTTATTTATTTATTTTTTGGTTTTTCTCCAGTACCGGGAACCGAACTCGCGACCTTGCGCTTGCCAGGCAGGCGCTTTTTGCCGCTGAGCTAAATCCCCAGCCCTGTTAATCTATTTGTATGATAATTAACTTTGTAAAAACCTAGAAGAAAATAAATGAATCTGAAGCTGGCAAAAAAAAAAAAAAGAAAAAAAAGAAAGAAAGAAAAGGCATGTGCGGGTGAAATGGCTGTGATGTCAGTCACCCCACTGATCTGCTGGGTTGATTCCACTGACTTGGCCAGCCAGACCGGTGGCCCCTTCCTCCCTTGCTGCTCCTGAAGGTGGGGGAGGGTCCGGGTCCTTGGTCAGAGGTACAGAGTAGCTGAGCTCCCCTGCTACGACCTCCAAACAAACTCTCAGAAAAGGAGTGGGAGCAAGGGGATAAAAGAAAGAATTATGTACATGTACCAATTCCCTCCAGTGAAGGTAATCACTACATACTGCAAACATGTACTCAGTTAAAATTAAGGAAAGTCTACCTTTATCATTAGACGATTCTAAAGCCTGCTATTCTGTAATTAATACAGCCTCTTATTTCCCCCTAGTGTTTACATGGTAAATCTTTTTTCACTTTTCTCCTTTTTGACTACCTGTGTCTTTATATTTAAAGTAGGCTGATTAGCCAGGCATGGTGGCACACGCCTGTAATCCCAGCACTCAAGAGGCTGAGGCAGGAGGATCACTGTAAATTCGAGACCAGCCTAGGCTACAAAGTGAACTTAAGGCCAGCCTGAACTGCATAGCAAGAACCTGTCTGAAAAAGACAAAAGAAAGAAAGAAAAAAGGAAAGAAAGAGAGGGAGAATAAAAGCTGATTGTAGATAACATAAATTTGTATTAATATTCTCAACTCAATATGACAATGTTTTTTCATTGTAATGTTTAGACCACTTCTATTTAGTGTTATTGCAAATATGTTTTGGTTTAAATCTAGCATCTTTCTATTTATTGCTTTATTCTTTATTTTTGCTTCGTTTTTTTGAATTTTTTTGCATGAATTATTTTTAAAATTTTATTGTATCTTCACTACTGGTTTATTAGCTATCACTTTTGTATTTTTATATGTCTATTAAGATTTACAATGTGCAGGTGTAATATATCATAGAAGTCAATTAACATTGTACTTAAATTCCCCTCTCCTATTCATTTTGCTGTAATTGTTGGTGTATTGTAACTCTACATAATTCATAGCCCTATCTTGTTAGTTTAGTTTTAAATGGCCTGTGTTAACCTGTTTGATCTTTTTAAACAGTTAAAGAGAATGTGAGTCTTTAAAAAAGCTTCTTATGTTTTCCCCCTAATTATCATATCTGCTGCTTTTCATTTCTTTTAAAACATCCAGGTATCTTTCTGGTATGCTTTTTCTCTTGCTTGAAGAACTTAATTTTACATTTCAGGTACACAGCTGATGAATTTCCTATTTTCTTGCTTGGAATAAGTTTTAATTTCACCTTAATTTTCTAAAGACATTTGGATTTGGTACAGAATTCATTAATGATTTTTTATTTCTTTAGAACTTCAAAGACATTCTACAGTGTTATGACCTACCAGGCTTCTAATGTAGTCTGCTTTTATTTTTACATTTATTTTTCATATGTAATATTTTGGTTTTGTTATCTCACTGCTTTATGTGTTATTCTCTGAGTCACTGATTTTTAGCATTTTGAATATGAAAGACATTTGTGTGCTTTAGTTTTTTTCTTCTTGAAATTAGTTGAAATTTTTAGATCCCTGAGTTTATAGGTTTTATCAAATTTATCATTTCAGTGAATATTTCTTCACACATTTTGTGCATCCTGTCTATTTTGAAGTTCTAAGTATAAAAATATGAGAATGTCTGACATCATCCCAGAGCAAAATGGGGCTCTGATGTTTTCCTGTCTTTTACTTCCATGCTTCGTTCTGCCACTCTTCATATTTATGAGTCATTTCTCTGAAGTTTTAAATCTAAATTCCACTACACACTTTTTATTTCAGATATTGCATTTTTAATCTCATGAAATTAATTATATTTGGTTCTTTTCTATAGCCTTCATTTTCCTCATTACACTTATGTTTTCCTTTATGTCCTTGAACATGAAGATTTATACTAGCTGTTTTAAGATCTTTATCTACGAGTTCTATCATCTTTGTAATTTCTGAATCTGCCCTCATTTTATTTTTCATCTAATAGTGGCTCACTCTTTCCTATTTCTTTCATAAGGCTGATACAATTTATTGAATGCTGCCCATTACGAATGCGTTGTTGGGAGCTGGGTTTTGTCCTTCAATTAGCATGTGACTGCATTTTGACGTGCAGGTAAGTGCATGCAAATCAGGTTGATTCTTTGAAGCTTGCCTTTAAGTTTTGTGATTACAGGTCCAGAAGTATGTCTGCTATGGGACTAATTCATCCTCACAATTAAAAGTGCAACCCATATAAGAAATTTGTCTGATCTCTTGTGTTCCCCATTCTTGCTGGTAGAAATACAAACTCTTCTCAGCCCTGACTGAGTTCCAAGACTTTTACAGCCTACTGCTTCTCTGATAGTTCTTTCCTCAGTTTTGGAGAAACTTTTCCCAGGCATGCATGGATGGACCAGTCCTCAGCTGGAAGGGGTCATCCTCAAGTCCAGACACACTGTCTCAGTCTGTCCCAGGTATCTCTTCTTGGTATTCTGCCTGAAAAATCTTACCTACTTTGTCCTGCCGAACCCTGACCTCTGTGTGTTTAATTCAGAAGCGCACCTAGCCTTTCCGTCTGTACCTTCCTTTCATTCTGTTTTCCTTCTCTGCAGCCTGGAGATAGGACTTCTCTCAGGCACAACAGCTTTGAGTAGCCTGCTGTCTACTGGCTGAAAATCTTGTTTCACACATTTTGTCTGATAGCCCAGGGTGTTTTTTTTTTCCTGATATAAGGATAATTCTTAGTAGTCAGTCACACGTGCACAGCAGTTATATACGACCCCTAGAAATAGTATGACAATTTATTTAAATGTAATTATCAAATAAGCAGACAGTCTCTGGCATTGTCACTCTTTGAAGTGTCTGGGCTCTCATATTTTTTTATTTGTAAAAATGTATGTGTAATGGGATGAGATTTAGTGAGTCAATGGATACTCATGTCATCATATTCTATCCAAAACCGACCCATAATTTTGTATCGCACTGCTCACAAAAACAAAACAAAAAAACTTAACAAACAAAAATAGCACCTATTTCTTATTTTTTAAAAAAGATTCCATTGATCAATCTCTGTGGCTTGTGTATGCATAGTAATTATTCTGAACTGAGGGTTTTGTCATTCCCTGCTCCAGTCTCTTAGGAACCTTTTGAGAAGGTTGATC